CAAGAGTTCCTCAAACATTCTATGATTCTGTGATATTCATTAATTTTCCCTCCTCAGCCTCTGGCCATGATTGTACATTCATCAGGCTCACGTCCCTTTGGCACATAACTCAGAAACAGGGTACCATCGCCTAGTGTAAAAATTTTCAATGTTTATCAGTAGTCTGGGGATTTAAATTTATAATTGTGATTTCATATGATGTGCAACTTCATATGGAAAAGCCTCTTTAGTTTTTCAGTTTGATTGAGAATATGTTAATCCTTTTTGTTCCCATTATTTTCTACCAGTATGTTGGATAATAATGGCTTTGTTTAATTTGTGTGACATTAATTTTTATGGAAAACTGACATGTGTTAGTATGGTAAAGCAAAACCTGATTTGTCTAGGTTGACATTTTGGCTCTGGCAGGTTTCTGTATTAGCTGATGTTTACAGAGAGACAGGAGAGGAATTCATCTTGGTTTTGAATGTAGATGCATGGAAAAAGCACTGTTCGTTTATTCCATTTTCAGCTTGCAGTATTCTAAAGAAATTTCAGGGTTTTGGGAGAGAGTGAAACAGGGTTATTTGTCTGTACAGATTGATTCATTATGTTATCTTTTTCCCAGAATTTGGGGTTTCTTTTTCTGTCTTTAACACATCTGTATATGATGATCATATTTTACAGACTCATTGAATAAGGTTAGAATTAAGTTTGCTAGTGAATTAAAGCTAGAAGTGGGTTGACTGATTATTCCTTGTAACTCTCAAATAATGGAATTGATTGATGCTGCCCTTTAGTGTGACCCAGTGTAACACCATATAATTATGTGGCATCAATACTCACAAAAATAAGAAGATGGCATCCCGAAGATGGGAATGAAGAAAAACAGGATAATGGTAGAGGAGGGCTCATGGAGACTGTCTGCAACAGGCTGGTGGTGCTTTTCTGGCTGCAGCTTTTATCATTAAGCTGGAAAGCACAGATGAAAGGATTACATTAGGAGCCTGTAAAGATTTCAGCCTGTCACTGTTGGTGCACGCCTGTCTCTCATTCTCCCAAATACAGTGTTCCTGCAAATGTCTGCGTTTGCCTCCAGCTCAGCACTCCGCTCTTTTTCGGTGCCTTTCATCTGCTGCGAATGGCTTCAAAGTGGCTGCTGACCAGCAGGTTGTCTTGGTGCGTGGCAAGGTCTCCTGTCTTCCACTGAGATCTCAATTGAGCTTCCAGCTACTGATCTGCTCAACCACCAGGTGCAAGCAGCCACTGATGTCTGATAGTTAATAAGCATTTGCTGCTAATCAGCTACTGCAAAATGCATCTAGGGCCAGGTACAGCAGTGGCTCAGTAGCAGCAGCTGATCAGAGGTCTTGGAAATAACTGGTTTTCTCCTGGGAGGGGAACAGAGATAGGGCTAGTTAATTGCCCAGTGGTAGCTGTGATTTGAAACACTGATTATCTGTGGTTACCAGTGGTGACCTTCCAATTCCAATGTAAATGGAGCAGCACTGGTGATCTGGAGCTGGGACCAAGTAGAGAACTTCATGGTTTAAAGGATACTGAGCAAGCTGTAAGCAATGAACTTGATTGTGCGCCATGAACACTGAGCAGGTTCTGCTTACCTACCAGCTTTTGTCTGACAAGATAGGAACAGGGACACTGCTTTGGTATAGTGTTCTCTGCTCTCCATTTTACACCCTGTCTTTGCCTTCAAAAATTCCCAGGCCAACTGTCTCTGGGCTACCCAGCATGCAAAGGTGAGCTAGTCCAGTGCTGTCCTTGTGGGCTGCTAGGCCAATAAGAGGCAACCTTTCTGGGCTGTCACTCTGGTCTCTCTTGTACAGAGAAGGGAGGCAAATTCTCACCTACCTAATGTAGCAGAATGCATCTGGTGGTGTGGCTGTGTGTTGATTGAGCTTGCCATAAAACACAGAAAGGACAGGTTGAGCAAGGACAGATTGAACTAATATATGGTACAAGGGCAGGATAGCAATTAGATGAAAATTGTTTGCAGCCTTGTGTTTCAGTTTTGGTCTTCCGTGGCGAGGTCTAACATTAACTTTCACACCTCTGGCAGACAAGCTTTGTGCTATCTAAAATATTACTGCCAAAAATCCTCTGTATTGACACTCTAATTGGAAGGATGTTTTTCTCTAAAATCTAGCAACTGCTAAGAGGCTCGGAAGAGTAATTCAGGCTGTTACCTGCACTTTATTCTGCAGATGCCCTTTTACGTACGATAAATCCTAACCTGCCCAAAGGAACTCTTTAAATTGTGTTATGAGCTTAGTTTAAGTCAGTTTGACATTCTTTGAACAGAGGTATTATGTGAGGTTGATGGTCTGTATTCCTGTACTTCAGCTCAGAACTTGAAATTCATCTCTGCCCAAGCACACATGATTTAAAATGCTTTGCAAATGAATATTTTATTAGGTAACTGTGGCCAATTGCTGCAGGATGGCCTTTGATAAGCTTCGTAGCCAAGCGGCGTTGGCTGTGTTGGCAGAGCCCTCTGGTGGGAGCTCAGCCTGTGCCAGCAGCAATTGGTCCTGCGGGCAGTGCCACCCGCTTCTCCCAAACACCATCAGCCAGACCTCTCTGGGCTCTGTGGTGTCCCACCAGCTGACAGCTCAAGTGCTCAAGGGGCTCCTCTTTATCTCACAGAGCCCTTGGAGTGCACTTGGCCAATGGTGTGCTGTAAGAGCTTATATAATTTTAGGTGTTGATTTGAAAAAAAAAAAAGTACTGCTTAGTAAAAGTAACTGACTTAATTAGACACACAGTGGGACGTTTCTAAGTCAAGAGCCACAGTCTTCCATTTCTGTTGGTCAGTAATGCTTCTGCTAATCAAAGTAGTTGAGGAAAGGGCTTTTGTGTTTTAAAATTCCAACTTACTGAGCGTGAAGGAAAAATGTTATTATACTTGTCTAACCTAATAGAATTCAAACCAGAATGTGCAAACAGGTCTTGTAATCTGGTTAGATCCCTAAAGTGTTGATATAATGCAGGCCAATAACTCCACTGCAGGAAATCCAGATGTTTGAGATTGTTGCACAAGTAATGCAGTAGTAATAAAGGGTCTTTTTTTCCTCCTCACATGCTAGCCAGAGTTTTTCCATTGATTTGAAACACTCACAACTGTGCACAGTATTTTATCTTCATTAAAATAAAAAAAGAGGAATATGTATCATAGCTTAGAAAAGGCTTTTGCCTGTGGTGGTCAGGACCCCTTCCTGATGAAGTTGGAGAGTGGTGGCAAGTCAAAGGCAGTCATATTTCTGTTATTTTACTTGTTTTTTGATGAAATTTTTTCTTACGACAGACATATGAATTCTTTCAAAAGCTAAATTAACCTTCATGGCCTGTATTTGAAATGCCATTTCATGTTTGCTTTGAACTTACCTACTCCATCACTGGGGTACAGCAACATAGAAGTGCTCTGTTAACAAACCCATTATGTGAGAGGCAGTTGCATGGTGGAACTCCTTGCTTCAGGTTGTTGTGAATTCCCAAAGCTGAACATGTTTCAGAAAGCAATTAAACACACTTGTTAAAGGAGGAATCACCAGTGTGATGAGATGCAGATACTGCCTTTGAAAATTCCCTAGCTACATCCAAGGGAATGGGGCAGAAGTGCATGGCTATGTGTACTCACCCTCTTCCTCCTTACCCTTGGGTGAAGGCAGGATGCTGAAATAAATGGGGCTGCTCAAGGAGAGGACTGGTTTTGTGGTTCATGTCACCCTCTGCTGTTAACTGGAGGAGCTGTGAAGAGGGGAGTACCAAGCTCTTTTTGATGGATGAGGACTCCCCCTCCTTCTGCAGCCTAGAGATGTTCTTTGTTGAGGGATGTTGTTTTCAGACGAACCTTCCAGCTTACCTGCAGTCTTATCTGGCATTTTCCATGGCCGAGTGGCTTTCCTCACCTGTAATGAGTTTCACTGGAGACTTATTACAATTACACATAGGAGGCAGCACAGAGGTTTTTATTTCTTGCATGATAGCTTCTTCTTCCTGTTTTTTTAATAACATTGTGGTTAGAGGCTTTAATTCTCTGGCAGATGGTAGTGCAGTATGTTTTTAAAGCCCTGTACCTTTTGACTCTAGGATATACCCTAGATATACCTCTAGGATATACCCTTTGCTCTGTGACTTTATAAAGCTTCTAAAAAGCTAGTTTCAGCATTGAAATTCCCTTCCATTTTTATTGCACAATATCCTCATGATTCAGCTTTGTAGAATAGTTTTACTTCTATAGGTTATTTTGTCCCATGCTCTTTTTAATATATTAACACAGTTTTAAGCCTGTGATGCAACAACCCCTGTGAGTTGTCTATTTTTACTCAGAATTTCAAATGTAAATGTTGCTTTAACATTACTATTGGTTATCTCTAATCTCGGTCTCAAAACAAAATCTGTTGGAGAGTTCATCCTCTTTTGTCTGTGCTTTTATTTCAAATGTAATTTTTGTATTTTCAAATGTGGAGAGTGGCTGATGATATAATATCTGTGCTGGTTTATTTTTTTTAGTAATCCCTGCTCTTCTAAAGAACTTGGTAAAGTCTGATATTACCATTCAAATAGGCAGGTGAGAGCTTTTGGTGATCAGTAATTTGTACCTTTTCAAAAGCCGCACTGCCTTGCTTTGTCTTGGAATTTATTATGCTTCCCAAGTATAATGTGACATACTGAATAGGGCAGGGGGTGGGGACATTGTCTTCAGCTGACATGCTGTTATCAGCGGGACTGTGTTTCTGGACACAAGATTTCGCAGTCATTGGTTGTCCGAAGAAAGCCTTTCCATCTGAGGATTGGACAAGAAGATGCGTCAATTTGCTGCCCGTCTCCAAGGTACTGGTGATGCTGCCTCCACAAGCTGGCTAACGTCACAGCTCCATCACCCAGCGGGGTGTGGGCTTTTTTCTCCTCTTCTCTGTTTTAATTCTGTATTTGCTTCCTACTGCATTTCTTAATCTGTCTTCTGCCAAATGCTAACAGCATGATATTTTGCAATCATTTAGGTGAATACAAGAAGGACGAACTCCTGGAAGCTGCTAGGTGAGTGCTGCTTAGAATATAAAGCATATTTTGGGGGTGGAAACAGGCGAGGAAAAGGGATTTTTAAAATAGTAATGTTTTGTCATTGCCTTTCCATGAAATGATGCAAGCAAGCCACTTCATTAGCATAAATCTCTTCAGACTTTACAGTCTGGTACAAATATAAAAGCCTGTTTATGTAATTGAAATCCCCCACTATGGTGGTTAGAAGGTTAATATTGAGTTTTTGCTTTAAGCTGCTTAAATCCTCTTTATCGTTTTGTGACTGTTCTTTTTAGGGGCAATTTAAATATTGGAATATTTCTTTTCTTTTGGTTTTTATTGCTGCCATAGGATGTATTTTGAAAATAAGCTTTATCAGAACAGAGCATATGGAAGCCTATACAAAAGGTGTAAAGTTCAGTCATATATTACAAACGTGCTTTTCATCTTTCCTTCTGACTGCACAGGACCATTTTATATAGACTGTTAACCCTTCTGAAAAATTTCTGGGTATTGGTATGTAGTTGTTTCAAATGTTATGGGCCATATGCTATGAAAATATGTTAAATCCAGAACATTTATTTCAGCAAATGGCTTTCAGAGGATCTGTAAAATTAGATAAAGGAAATATAGAATGAGGCTAAGGAGAGAAATTGAGGTGTTTGTGCGTGATCTTTTGTAATACATTTATTTGCAAATTTAGCATTCTTTTCAGTATTTACCCTTGGTTTTGAAATGTTCAGAAGATTCTTTAGCCATCTGACATTCTCCCTGGCAGAGTATAAATTTCAATATATTATACTTTGCAAAATACTTGCTAAAGATCAGGATATCGAAGAGCTCTGTCCCTTTTCCCCCCCTTTTCCACAATCTTCTCTTCTCCATTTACAGGAGTGGTAATGAAGAGAAACTGATGGCTTTACTGACTCCTTTAAATGTGAACTGCCATGCAAGTGATGGGCGTAAGGTAAGTTAATGCCTGCTTCGTGTTTCAGTTGTTCAAGAAAGACCAATATAAGCAGATTGGTAAGCATAGGTGTATAAACCAAGAGAGTGTATGAGGGAAAAACCTGCAATGCCTTTTCACCGTAAAATTAAATGCTGTTATACTTGACACTGGCAGTTGTGACAGTCAGCAGACATGGATTCTGTGTGTGTCTTTTAAATGTCAAACCCTGGTGTACATGTAAAATGAAACTTTTAAGGCCTTTTCTAAGAAAACAAAAATTTACTGTTTCAGACGAATAAAATAACTAAGGAAGGAAAGTTATTGCTTGTATTTGAACACTGAGTGAGGTGGTTGATATTCGGCTTTGCTCCTAATGCCCTGCCACATAGACTAGCACTGTATTGCTATGCTTAACACCTTCTGCATTTTCTTAAATTTGACGGTATTGTTTTGACTTTCTCTGGCAGGGATGTTTGAATGAGTTAAATTAAGGATTAGGCTGAAACTGGAGGAGGGAAGAACATACGGAGTGAGAAGCAGATCCTATGATTTTTGATGTTTTAGACATCAAGATGATAGTCTGTCTAGACTGTTGCATTTACAAATGTTGGTTATTTTTTTTTATTTTTTTTTTTACTGTGTACCAGAATGTTCCTAATAGTCATCTGTTAAAAAAGTCTCTCACATGTAACAGTACCTCTCACTTTTGGAGAGAAAAGCATAGGAGCGTTTTCTTTTATAGTTTTCTTTATTTTGGTGAAGCATGTTCGAGCATAGTATAAACTTCTACCCATTCTGGAGTTGTAGAACAGGTAAGTTCCACTGAAATCAATGACGATAGACCAGTTTATGCTTCCTTTTGATTAAAAAGTACATTGTTACTGAATATAAAAAATACAGCTCCACTGTACAGAAATTCCTGGGTTTTTTTCACATATTAAAATATTTTCTCAGTTGCGATGCCTGTGATACATACTGTGTGACAGAAAACCCAGCCATTTTTTTTCTTGTTTACACTTATCACTCATTGAAAGTTTATATATCTTTCAGGTTTTGAAAACAATTAATTTTATGATTTGAGGACAGGCAAATGAACAAGGGCTTTATTTAGTTTAGCAGTATTGGAACTGATAAAACACTTCCTATGTTATAAGATTAAACATATTGCCCACATTTGTTCAATTTCTTTTTTTAAAGACTTTGACATTCAAATAAGAGTGTATTTAGGTGTTAATAGTGCACTGTGTTATAATTAAATGTGGTGGAATACAGCAGTGCATTACTGAGTAATTGAGTCCCTATCACTATTGATCTAAGGCCAAATACAGAGTTATGACTTCTGTCAATAGTGTGAGGAATAAGCCCTTGCAGATGTTTTCTTGAATATTTCTCATTTTAAATTAAAAATTATTAAAAAAATGAAGCTTTTAAAATTCATATTAAGCTAGCAGAAAATATTTATGTATTATTACAGCCTCTGAATGAGTTTGAAAATTTATGCCCAAAGCTTAGAAAGCATATTGCAGTTAAAGCTCATGAGTATGGACACTCTGAAAATATGGTTTTGTGTTTGGTTGTTGCTAAATGCACTGGTTATTGAAACTCCTTTTAAGATGGCTTGCCATTGATATTAATTAGCTTTTTTTAAATTATATCCACCAGATGTATTTTTTCCCCCACCATATGTGTACAAGCTGTGGAAGGTGAAGTAACGCTCTGTAGCAAATGTGGTATATAACTGTTAAGTATTTAATTTCTAAACCAAAGCTTTCAGGTCCTGTGCTAGTGCAAGATCACTTAGTGTTTAATCATTTTACACTGTGCTGCAAATTAAGGGAACCTTTCAGCCTACAGCACAGCATTCTTGTAAATGAAAGTCTCTGCTGGTGTAGCTGCCTCTTAGTTGACCTATAGTGATTCATGCTAGCTGAGAATTTTCCTTTTTGGAAGTAGCTTTTTGCATTCCTTGATGCTTTTTGTAATTATTTTTTGAAGATCCTCTGAGTATTCAAGCCTCAAACTTAGGACACTGTAGGGCCACAGAATTAATGCAGCTGTCAGGGTGAGAAAGTGCAGACGCTGCGGATTGGCCTGAGATTCTCAGCATCATGCTTACTCTGCAGCACAGCTATACCCACAAACTCCTTCTCCAGTTTGTGCATTCCTTGGTTTTCTGAGATGTCCAGCACTGTTGTGAAACATTTAGCTTTGCAGGTGAAGAAATTAAGTTGAGTTCCAGTACAGTTTTTTTGTGTTAGCAGGTGGTGGTAGGGTTTTTTTTCGTACTTTAGGTACTGCAATTGTATGTAGTTTACCTTTTTTCCCCTCCTTCCCCCACCCCCTGGGGATTTTTTCTGTGTCCCATGTATACTAACATCTGGAGTTCTGGATTTATCAAATATCACATGTGCTGTGAGGTTGTGCTTCATAGAACAGGTAAGAGAGGTGGAAAATTCTGACAGTATCTTGCTGGTTTGAAACCAGCTCAGGATGGAAATAAAAAAGACTTACTGCATTCTAGGTGCTGCTTGTAGCCTTTTCTAAAAGTATTGACAGCTAGAGTCTGATTCCTATTGGACAGGGTTCCTTGCTGCTAAAAGAGTTACAGCTGGTGCTCATAACCATTGCTCCATGTGTTTATTTAGCATAGAGGTCAAAGATGAATAGGAATGAAAACTGAACTTCCTTCTTCCCCTCCAAGTCACTGTTTAGATAGATTATGGGCATTGTAGAAATGTTCACGTTACTGAACCTCCTGAGCTGTTGTCTGAAGAGGGAATTTATTCTCTGTGTCTACTTTTGCAATTATTTTCTGGAGTGAAAAATGAAGGAGTGTGTGCAAAACAAAGAGCAATTTTATTTGTCAGCTAAAGCATTCCTGCGTACCGAGGATCTAGGTAATTTGTGGGGGTTTGTTTTGAAGACCAAGGAAAATCAACAATAGTATCTCAGGAACAGTGATTTCATTGAGCTGGGTAATGATTGAGTTTTTGAGTAAGAACTGGCTTATATGCCTGTTGGATATATATGAGGGCACAAATAATAGTGCACAAGTGCTGAGCTATATAGTACAGTGTGTGCAAAAGAGTATTATACAAAGCTAAAATTTAATGAAAACTATTCTTTTGAAATTGTCCTATTTGCTTTTTAAAAAGCAATGCTTGAGCTGAAATATTATTATATTTTTTCATTACAGTCTTGCTTTGATTTTTTTTTTTAAACAGGAGACTGAAAACTCACAGAATTGTTAGGATGTGGTGGTGTATTGCAAAATTGGTGTGTTACATCACTTTTGTTCACATTGCTTCGCAAAGTATTTGCTCTGTCAAAGCAGAACTTATACAAAATGCATGGCACCTGTGTATTCCCAATGGGTTGGAAATTTCGCTGTGTCCTGCCTGTGAGCTCTGCTAGACTTTTTGGTCTTTACATAATCTGTAGAAGTAGTGACTTTTCAAAGACAAGCTATAGTGTTAAAGTTAGATGATGGTACTGAATTTCACAGTGTTAAAAAGCCAAGGCACCTATTTATGTGTCTATCTATGTAAAGGTATATAGGCTTTACAGCCCTTGTTATTTTCCCTCAAATATTTTTCTCTGGGGATGTCTTTTTCAAGACTCAATTGTGAGTGAATTTTCAAAACCTGTTTTTTGACTATTTTAAATCGCCAGGTTTATTTCTACTGCTGGAAACTAAAGCTGTATTATTTTGTATAGGAGCTGCATTTCTGACTTTTTACAACAGTCACTGCCTACCTAATTCAGTAGGCAAGAGACAGGTTTAAAATCGAATATGTCATGGTTGCAGGTTGAGTAGAAGCTCTTAGCTCTCTCATTTCCTTTGGAAAGCTGTTGTGAACACTTGAAAGGTGTTTCAGGAAGAAATTGATGTTGCCTCCATTTTAAAAATGCAGAAGCATCTGAGCTAATAAGGAAGCATTGGGTTTAGCAATTCAGATGAGAACCCTTTTCTACAAGACAAGTCTTCCCACAGTACTCTTGATAGCTTTCCAAAGTGAACTACCAGCTGACACGGTAGCTATTAGCAATAGGAGGTTGGGTTTTTGTTTTGAAGTTGGATTTTTGCTGGTATGTAATATGCTGTGCCTGTACTGCATTACACATGCTCAGATCATGCTGGCACTAAAGTACTCAGGTGTCAGTTGAATAAAATCTTTTCTTCTTGCAAGAGAACCCAACTGCTCCAGTTGTTACTCAAAAACCCAGTTTTTTTGGTCCTCTTCTCAAGGTTCATTTCGTGAAGCAGTGCAAATATCTGATATTTTGAGCTCTTTGGAGCATAAAAAAATTATTATTCTGAAAAATAAAATGCATACTTCATACTTTACTTCGAAGTTTCCATTGATTTGTTGCAGCTGCATTTTGTTGTTTACATTTCGGATCAACCATATGAAAATCAGAAAATACAATAGCATTACCTGTGATAGCTTGGTCTTGGATATTAGTTCATCTTGAGGCAGGAATTACTACCAGAAGGCAGCACAGAATGCAATTCCTCCACAGCTACATCATATTTTTTCTTGCACTTTCCCTCACTACCTCGCTCCTCAGAAACCAGGAATGTAGAAATTTCTGCAACAAGTGAATCAGGGATCCTGCAAACAATGCACCTCAGTTTTTCCAAGCACAGGACCATCCAGCACTGTGGATAAGGTAGTGATCCCATGAAAGAAAATTAATAACTTATTAATTAAAAGGCCATTACTAGTGTGCGTGTGGTCCTGCTTCACTTAATTTCACTGTGGTGAAATTTAATTTGACTTGTGGTGCCCCTTTCTTTGTTTATTAGCAGTTTTCAGTCATTAACAGCTCCCAGTACCAGTCCTTACTTACTTGGTATTATGCCTCTGCAATGCCTTTGTTGTCATACCTTTCCAAACCAGCTGTAGACAGCCCTGGATCCAGAATATCAGAATCAGGCCTTTTCATTAAACTTTGTAAGTCATAGGAGACATACTTGCCTCTTGGGTTTGGGTGAGGCTGTTTCTTCAGACCAT